CTTCAAATCCTTTGAGTTCTCCTTTTTATTTATAATTTCTCCCTGTAGAATTCTGTACTTCCTACCTCTTTGAAAAAAAAAAAAAAAGCTACTGCCTGTCCTTTAAATAAAAATTCTAAACCACCTTCTCTTGAAGATTTCCACCCATTCTCAATTTTTTTCAACCTCTTAAAATCTCTGTAAATACTAGCTTATTCCCAAGTTTTCAATGTAATTATCCATTAACAGTCAAATAAACTGGACCCTCACCAATCTAGTTTTCAATCGAGTTACTGTTCAGACCATTATAGATGACAAAAAAATTATACTTGTACTCCTTAACTTTTCTAACAATTCTATCTTTTGATTTTAATCTTTCTTAAGAAGACCTAGATCGAACCATTGCCAAGAAAATTTCAATGGATTAAGTTACTCAAGCCATTATCATTGGTTAAAAATTCCATTTCAGATCTAATATAAACATTCCTACCCTATACCTAAATGACCATTCCATCACTTTCAGCTCCTCTGTTAAAAACTTAGGCATTATCATTGACCAAACCCTCTCCTGGAATAATACTGCCTTCATCTCTCATCAGTTGATTTATACAATGGAACTATTCCATCACTTCTTAACCAAACTGCATAGTGCATTCAAGATTAGTAAAAATTAATCATATCTTAAAGACAGAAATTGTTATAATATATACAGATAAAAACAATACCTTACAGTGCTTCATGAACAGTGATATGAAATATTTGTTCATATTCATAAAAAAAAAAATTAAATCCTTGTTATATTATACATTATTAACCAGCATTGTAAGGATTGGATATGAGAGGAATTCGATGGCTTAGTGGAGCCCCAAAGCTCAACTCCGTAAGTCCAAATAGGTCTTATTGTAGTCATGTATATGAGTCTTTTGTTATTAACTGGAAGCTTAGAGCGTTTGTCTAGTAAGTGTTGGAGTAATTGGAAATGTCGAGCAGTTTCTTGTAGTTTCAGTGTGGTATAAGTATTCCAAGTTACACGTTTGTCCAAGTGGAGTCCAATCCCGGGTATGAGGGTTTTAAAGTTGGATAAGTTTTTAAGAGCGGTGGAATTCCAAAAAATGGTGAAACAGGCTATAAAAGAATGTTGACATGAGTTAGATGTGTTAAAAGAGGTATAAAGGTCAGAAACATGAGATCCTCTGGTAAAGGAGTGGAAAGAGGACTCGAATTGAATTAGATTGTAGGCATAAGATGGGAAATGGTTGTTGGTGATTTTTAAATGGAAAAATCCAAACTATAAAGCCATGAGTCTCCAACATACAGGAGAATAGTTAACTTGCCAACGTTTTGCAAATTCAGGCATATTCAGGACAGAAAACAAAAATCTCATATATGCTGAAAGAAAAAATAAAATAGAAAAAAAACTGAAGGAAAGAGAAGGTTCTATTAACACAGCAAAGGGAGGTTATATTGAACAGCTGATTAGCAGAAATACAAGAGGAAAAAAAGTAGGTATAACTAAAATATAATAATACAAAACGTGTTAAATAAAAAATTAATAAATTCAAAAGAAAAAGCTTGAAGGTATAAATAATATCCATTCTTAACAAAACTCAATGGATACACGATCATTCCTCTAGTAATATTACTAAAATAAGCAAAAAGCTAAAAAGAGACAAGGTGATTATGTTATAAATGGAAAAATTCAAACTACAAAGCCATGAGTCTCCTCCAACAGACAGGTGAATAGTTAATTTGCCAACGTTTCACCAATTCATCATCAGGACAGAAAATCATATATATGCATAAAGAAAAAACAAAAAGGAGAAAAAAAAAATCATTGCAATTGGCTATTTGGTTAAGGAATGAACGTAGGCATGTAGAAAGTGTTGTTGTTTGCAAAAGAGAAATAATCACTCTAACTCAGCATAATAGTGGTATACAAGAGATGTCTTGGGGTACCATAAATGAATCTTAATAATTAACTAAGCTATTTAAAATTCATTTATGTCAGTCTCCGAATTCTACCAAGAGGCCACCGTACATCATACAGCCATAGTTAAGTAGGATGATACTAGGAGTATATGTATATGTATGTATTTAGTTATCCATTTATTGTAATAAGTTTTATGGCGGGAATTAATCTTTATTTTTCTGTACACCATTATTATTCTTAAGGGACTGTGCCAGAGAATAAATTTGGTTTTTCTATTCAATTCAGTTATTATAATGACAAAAAACTTAGAAATTGTAAGCATACTTGTATAAATTATAATACCACAAAAATATTTGTCCTTTAAATTAATATTAATATCTTTAAAATAAAAAATATTAAAAATTAAAAAAAAAAATGTAAGTTATTCTTATCAATATTTTTTGCAGCTTCTTTTTTATAATCAATACCATAAATTTTAAATTTAAATGAAAACTTGATGCGCAATCTGAAATGCGACAGTATTTTCATAAAAAGAGCCCACTACAACATAATAATGGACACTAATATTTACCAAATCGGAAAAGTCACAAAACATTGATGTGCAATCTGAAATTTGACAGTATTTTCATAAAAAGAGCCCCCGACAACATAATAGTCAATTCTAATATCAATTAAATCCGAATAGTTACAAAATTTGATGTGAAAACCGAGGATTGGTAGTATATTAATACATGAAGGGCTCTCCCCTCAAAATAACAATGGACTCTTATTTAATATACCAAAAAGTTAATATAAAAAAACTAGATACAATTTCATTACCATAAACAAGAATATATATATATATATATTTCAGTATTAAGTGGCCAAACTGAAGATATGAATTAAGGACCTCGAAACAAGAAAAAAAATTCCTATGAAGGTATGTTCGCAAACGCTTTGTTTAGAATATATTCACACCTAAAGATTTTCATTATTACGAATTATTTACATTATATTAAGGAAATAAAACTTAATTATTTGTTCCAACTACTTTATTAATTAAAAATAAACATTAAATTCATATTAAATGTAGTTCCACGTGATTTCCTTAAGCATTAAGAAAGGCTCGGCATCTTTTTTCAACAGCAGCCGTGGCAGAACGGCACTGGATAAGTATTATTGTTTCACAAGATTCAATTATCCTTCTTTGTAAGGAATTAAGATCATTGACCGGACTTGCATAGACTGTTTGTTTAATGTCACTCCAAACAAAAAAATCTAGTGGTGACAGGTCTGGAGAGAGTGCAGGCCAAGCCACTGGTTCTGCATGGCCAATCCATTGATTGGGATAATTTACATATAGCCATTGTCGTGGACCTCTTCCGTAATATGCAGGATAACCATCTAATTGAAGCCAAATGTCCCTTCTCAGTTGTAGTGGAATATGTTCAACTAAATCATAGTAATCATTATTAAAACATAATTCATAACAACGAAAATCTTTAGGTGTGAATATCTCTTAAACAAAACGTTTGCGGACATACCTTCAGAGGAAATTTTTTTCTTGTCTTGAGGTCCTTAGTTTGGCCCTTTTTTTATTTTTTGCAGTTTGACCACTTAACCCAGAAACACCCTGTGTGTGTATATATATATTTTTTTTTTCGGTTGGCACTACAGACCTTGTAGATCTTTGGCCACGAGATGTGGTCTTCTAGGCCACATCCCGATTCCTGATTTAAGTACACGGGAGTAGGGTCATCAGTCCTATGCCTGGTTGATGTGAGTTGCCTCCAGTAGGCTGACAGGCCTCTGAATCCCAAGGGGGGTCTTGGGCACCGTGGCTTTCCCTGGTGGATGATCACCCATCCAAGTGCTAACCACGCTCGGTGTTGCTTAATTTGGTTACCTATTGCAAGCACCTTAGCCCGCACAGCTACACCAGCCCCATATCTATCTATCTATCTATCTATATATATATATATATATTGTAATATAAATATTACATAGTGATTTTAAATAGTGGTGTGAAGGCAGTGATGTCACGGGTTACTGTAAAAAATGGACAAAGACAGATGGAAGGGGAAGCATATGCCATATGTCAGAGGAAGGTAACCAGCCAGCTAGTAAAGAGGATCGAGAGAAGAAAATGTGAAGCATATAACAAGTAGTGAGTGTCAGCAAAGGAAGAATAAAAGATTGTAGAAGTTGAACACAACAATATAGAGGAAGATTCACTGCAGAATTGGGTGAGTGAAATATAGTGAGTTTTGGACATTTGGTGGACATAAAGCGCGCCAAGAGTAGACCTCGACAAACAATAGAAATTCATAAAAATGTTATGTACTATTAATGTATGATTTTATATTTGTAATTGAGGAGTGTGTGTTTGTTGTCTCAACCAAACCTGAGAAATAATTATAGTTTAAAATAAATAAAAGTTGATTCAGAAACTGTTTTGTTTATTTTTCAAAAGGAACGTAACCTTAAAACATATATATATATAATGATTTTGATAATCATAAAACGTTTTTACCCAGCCTCAAAAAAAAGATTAGATTAAATAATAGAAAAACATTTTTCTTTTATCATTATTCATGGCGATAAAATGAGTGATGAGTGATTTACTCATGGCTAAACCATTTATAGTGATCACTCTTAACACACACACACAACTACTCGTGAGTAATTTAATCATAGTCATTACTCGTGATCACTGAATTAATTAAATTACTTATTTATTATTACTCATTTACTCGAGTAATTGCGCAACACTGGTCCCTAGCACATATACTATCAACAACCTTAGGTACCACCACCTCACCTTGTTTGAGAATCTCTTTTTAAGAGTTAAGTTAGCTAGATTCATCCTACTATATAAAAAAATTACTTTAGATATCAGTAATTTGATAAATTTAAATATGGAGAAAAATATTTTGTTCAAAAATAAATAGACTTCCAAAATCATCACATGAAAAAGCATCAAGGAACAAGATTCAAGATTTTTACTTATTATTATACTTATATCATTATATATTTTTAGATGACCCATGAAACCTAAGAACACATACTCTCTCTCACACACACACACACACTTTATAACTGAAATACTTACAATTATACGGGTTAAATAATTATTTGAAAAATATTTCTTTTTCCCATTTATTGACAAAGTATAATTAAAATATTTTGAGTTGCCAATTAAACCAATCCAAGAATCCCAACCAGGCGGAACATGGCTGGCTCCACCAGCATTTTTGTTTCCATACTGCAAAAAGAGGAATTACAAGTAAAAATATTAAGTTTATAACAATAAAGAAATTGGAAAACAATTTTTCAAAAACATATTCTCTATATATACATCTATGATAATTATAAATTAGTTCTATTTGAAAAAAAAAAATGCATCAAAAAAGCAGCAGAAGATGATTAGTAAATTAACATTGAATCCTACTATATAATGCTATTATAAATATTTTAACAAAAATCAAGTAGGATAATTCAATTCAATAATAATTAGTATTAAAGGAAATCATACCAAAATAATAATAAAGTTTATACCTCTTATTGGATCTAATGAACCAGACAATTCATGAATCCATAAAATTGTTTTTCATGATAATTAATAAATTTATGTTTATTATTCATTTATAACTTTAAGAGTTATTCAGTAAAGCTGAGATTCACAAACACCATGAGATTTAAATTTAATCTATCCTTAACACTAAATAAGGACAGCTGCATGAAGTAGACCTGGGAAAAATGTATTTGAAATAATATTGGAGGAATAAATTCTTAATAATAAAAGGAGGTCTCCGCTAAATTCCGTGGGCAATGGCTTGTGATGAAAAAAAAAATCTTGTTCTATAAATGACACTTCAGCTGTAAAATGAGCTTTCTAAGAGAATAAAAAACATGAAATAAATGTTTTAGTAACCTCTTGTACGAGTAACTTGCTAAATTTCTTATTTTTAAAATAATTTTTGAAATTTTACCATGAAATCAAAGAAACATTCGCGGGCCCGATTTTGGAGACCCTTGATGTAGACTAAGAGTATCCTCACAGAACAAAGGAGTAAGTAATTATTTGATATAAATAATAAATTTTTTTCAATATTTATATATATTTGTTAAAAATATATTTACAATTAATTTTTATTTTACCTTGTGTGTGTTATTAACATTTGTCTTTTTTTTTATTTCCTTATTCTATTTGACAACTATATACCATCCTAGTTAATTGTCATTATTAAGCTGCTGGTTATTCAAGTGGACTTTGATGTAATCCCTCCATTTCTATCATCCATCTTCCTTATATGAGTTTATTTGGTTCTGCTCCTGACTATTGTTTTTATATCTTTTTAAATTTATTTATAATATGAGCGTAGTAGTTATTTAGATTTTTTGTATCATTTTTATAGTTTATTGTTTTTTTGTATATTTTTTGGGATGTGAATTGCCTCTTCTGTTTTTATAGTTTTTGTGTTCTATTGAAAATTTGAAAAAAATCAATGAAACTAGAGAGCTGAAATGTTCAGGCAAGTCTAAAAAACATAGTCCTGCACTGAACAATATTTAAAATTAATGTGTTAGTACAACTGCAGGAAATCTAGCAGAAAACTGGCTCAGAAAATAGCTGATGCTACAAGGACTCAAGGTTCGTCCTATTTGAGCAGAAGGAAACTCCTATAATTTGGCCTTAAAGGTTGTGCTGCCACAAGAAAAACATTTTTTCGATCTCTAAACAAGTGAAAGCGACTTAAGTTTGCCAAAGAAAACGAAAATTGGATGGTAGAAGAATGGAATAAATGTTGATGGATAGATAAGTCAAAATGTGAAATGTTTGATCCTGGAAGGAGGCTGTATGTTAGAAAAAAACTGGAGTGAAAGTTTCAGATCAACGTTTACATTCAACAGTGAAACATGGAAGTGGCTTCTTAATGGTTTGGGGATGTGTTTCTAGATCCGCAGTTGGAGACCTGAATGGACGGAACCTAGTGAATAGATAGAAAACTGGATACAAAACACTTCCATAGTGTTCTTACATATCATCAAATCCATCTGGGCTAAAGCTGATTGGGAACTTCATTTTTCAGCAAGATAACAATCAAAAATATGATATTTTGCCATTTTCTGATATAAAAATAACATTAAACAGAAAACAAAAAGAAATTATGAAAAATGGAATATTAAATTAAATGACTGAAGAATTAAAATATTAGAACAATTTTCTCAGATACACTGAGCATTCTAGAGTTCATACAACAGCTCTTGATGTTAACCCTAAAGAGTCAAGACTGAAGTGGATAGTAAAGTAATAAAATTTAACAATAAAGTAGCATTATTTAGAGGATAAAAAGGTGTCAATACAATGGATTGGTATCTTGGCTTGTTTTAAATTGAAAATAATGCTAATTTAAGTAAATGTTGCATCCACAATATCTGTAAGGTTAAATAAGTTTACAATAAGTTGTCGATGAAATGATTATTTTATCAAATAATGTTTTCTGTAATAATTTTGACAAGGAAGAAGTTCATCTGTATAGATTTTATTCTGTTAAGAGACCTCAATCAAACAGTTATTCGAGTGCAGATTATATAGATCAAAATTTTTTTTATATGTTACAAACATGATTAGAAAATATTTAAAACACTAGCTGACCTGTGCGAATATTTCGCACAAACCTTATATTTGTATCAGATTTCAACACATTAAGGGCTCAGCATAAGTTCAATTCAGTAATGTTTCTTAGCAAAGGTTTACTAATTTTATTTAGTAAGTTATTAATTTATAAATATTGATAATCTATACCCAACTATAGTTTAACCCTTGCTAGTTTCATTAAATTTATAATTATAATATTATATTTTTCTAAAGTTTAATAAGGCTTCTAAACATTGCCTTTAAATATCTAATGAAGGTTAAATACTTTGAATTTATTTCTCTGGAAGGAATGGTTTGTACAGAAAAAAAAAAGAAATGTTTCTTTTGTCATTAAAAATAATCAAGTTTATTTTCAAAATGATAAACATCAAATAGCTTATATATAGCTAATATTTTATTTAAAATGAAGTATATTAACAAATATTCCAAAAAATGTTTATTGGATGACATATTTAAGCGTTAATAATTAATTTAACAAAACCAAATGTTTTGAAATTAGCTAGAATAATTACTTATTGATAAAATGTATACTGTCTCAGGAAGAAAAGGGTCATTGCCCAAAATTTTAATCGATCGAAATTGTGTACTTTTTTAGTTATTGGCAAATAAAATATTGAATTCATTGTAACATTTTTTCAGTTTGTTTTCGGGAAGTATCTTATACATATAAATTAAAAGGGCTTCAAGGAGAAGACTTTAACCAAGTTTCGTTAAAATCGTTAAAGCTGTTTTGGTGCTACAGTTTATAGCTACACATTTTTTTGCAGCTTTGAACAAAAATATTTACATTGGTATTTTTTTTACATATATAAAATTATCGTAAGACAAAAGTACTATGCCAGAAACCTTCCCAGAAGTGTACAGAACAACTTCCCAAAGTTTCATGGCGATAGGATAAATGGTTTAGTAATGCATAAAGGACAAACAGACAGACAGACATACATTCATTTATATTTATATATATATATATATATATATATATATATATAGAATAGAATAGAATAGAAAAATCATCTTTATTCTGGGACTAGGTCCCTTTAGAATAACAGTATTGTTCATATATATTAACTACAAATCTGGTCAAAAGACTTATTACAATGAATAATGACAAAATACATGTAATACATTAAGTATTAATTAAGCTCTTAGGATAAATTAACGAGGACAGTTTGGTAATAGGGGTTCAGTACTACAATATTGGAGCTAAAATAATTGCATAATAATCACTGAATGAAATTATAAGGAAAGTAAAATCTATTTTATAGGTAAAGCATTGTAGTGATGGAATATAAAAATTTAAAAAAATAATAATAACTGTTAATATGTAGGGAAAGAAATTGTAAAAACCAAAACAAAAAAATATGTAAAAAAACAAATAATGATATACATATGTTCCCTAAGATATTTAAGTGATTATGCGTAAAGATTAGGAGAAGAGAAAATAAAATAAAGTATATATATACACATAGCGAGAAGTATGTTGAAGATAATTAGAAATAAAATACATTTCACTGAAATACATTCCATGAATAACAAATTAGAACTTAAGGAAAACAAATTTTATCTACTCACAATGCTTAGTGAGTGGTGATGAAAATTCACGTTCAACACAGAATAAAACAATAAAAAATAAGAGAAAAAAATAATGTCTAAAGAAAATTAAATCCTTATAACATAGAATGTATTTAACCAGCGTCTGATTGGATTGTAAAGAGGAATTGGAATAAGAGGGTTTTAAAGGTGGATAAGGATGATGCATGGCGGATTTTTAGTGGGATGGAATTCCAGAATGCGGTGGAACGGACAACGAAGGAATGTTTAAATGATGCAGATCTGTGGAAAGGAGTGTCAAGGTCAGAAGGACGAGATCTTGTGGAGAGGGTGTGGATAGATGATTTGAATTGTAGGAGATTGTATGCGTAGGACGGACGATGACTATTGATTATTTGGTAAAGGAATGTGCCTAGGAAATATTGTCTTCGGAAGGAAGAGAAGAGCCATCCTAATTCAGCATAGTGGTGCGAAACACGGGAATACCTCAGGGCCCCTGTGACAAATCTTACGAAGGCATTCATAATTATTTTCAGTCTCTCCCCGAGTTCTGCCGAGAGGCCACCGTACACCACGCAGCCGTAATCAAGGTGGGGGAAGATGAGGGAAGTTACCAGGAGTCTACGTGTGGAGATGGGTAGGAGATGGCAGAAGCGATGGAATAGTTTCAAGGTACCAATTGACTGTCGGGTAATGTGAGCAATATGGTGTTTCCAGGATAGGATTTGGTCTATGAAAATGCCTAGGTTTTTTACTGAGGAGGTGAAGGTAATGGATGGTCATTTAGGTACAGTATAGGTATGTTGGTATTGGCTCTGAGAAGGGGTTTGGAACCAATGACAATGGCTTGAGTTTTTGCAGCGTTTAACCTTAACCCATTTAAGTTTGCCCAGGCACTGATCCGATTCAAGTCTTCTTGAATTTTGGCAAACGCTTCATGCAACTCTGAGGGATGGAAGGAAAGGTAAATTTGGGAGTCATCGGCGTAAAGGTGATGGGAGCAGTGAAGGATTGAATTATGGATGTCATTGATATAAGAACTAAAAAGGAGG